TTTGAGGGTTTTTTACTTCCTAAAAAATAGTACAAGTAGTAGAGAAAGTTAATGAAAAAAAGATACTCTTATACTTTTTGCGCAATTTTTCAAAATGACAGATACAAATTTCTTCTTTTGGTGTGCTTCAAGATTACAAGAGAGTTCTGCTTCTTTTCTACGTTTTTAAAGAATGTCTTTTCAATGTGTTCTTCAAATTATTATTAATAGCTTTCATGTTTTTGCTGATATAGATTTTGAAAGCAAGAAATTTGCTAGGAAATTGAATTTGATTTTAACATCCTTCAAAAATATTTTATATAGGTAGGAAATATTTTTCGGTAAGAAATATAGGTTGGAAAAAAGCATTATTTTGCTCCACTCTAAGTTGAATATAAGACATAAATATGTTAATTTAAACATGTAATTAAATGTTTACTTAAAGAATTTCTATAGCAACTGAATAATTTTGGAACTGTGTTACGAGAAATATTTTTTAAACATATTTTTTCAAACTATTTTTATTAAAACTCTATGAATATAAGTTCGAAAATTACAGCATAGGATTCGTATTAATTTACAAAAAATTAATGATATATAATAATATATTCATCTTTGAAGTTCTATTTAATAAAAATTTGTTTTACGAAAAGAAATTTATCGGCTTCTGATTTCCAAAAATGTGGTTAGTTGTTTTTATTTTATTATTAAAATAAATTGCAATCAACAATTTATAAATTAACCGGGGAATTTAGTAGAATGGTAATTATAATTTAAATTATTTTGTTTTAGTTTCTGTATTAATTAAAAACCTCTTAAGTAGAAAAGGTAATAATAATGACTTCGCAATATACAATTATAACTAATTGTAAATATATAAAAAAAATTGAATACAGCAATCAACAATTTGTATGCATTAATATTTCTTTTTTAACTCTGATTTAACGAACAAAATATAAAATCGTTGCATTTAAAGTTAAAATTCTGCAAAAAACGTACGAATTTTAATTCATTACTGAATAGTATTATTATAATTCAAACTATACTTTGTAATAACGAACATTTCCTAAATTTCACAGGAAATCAGGTGCATATTTTTATATCTATATAAAGTATTTGATAAAAGTCACTGCTATTAACAGTATTTTCCTATTGAATTGTGAAATATTTATGTCATGTAGAGTCTTAGTGTTATTACGATTTTCAGAAGTTATATACTTAGGTATTTATTTTCAAGGTTTATTTTTATTTCTGTTGTAAATTTTTAAAAGTATGAGAATATTTCTGTAAGTTATTGTACTACTCTGATAGATCATAGGCGGTAATTAATTTCAGTTCCTTCTGTTTCAGTTTTAATTTTTTTCACGAACATACAAAAATTAGTACCTCAAATTACTATTAATGAAAATGCTGTTTGTATATTGTTTTAATTCACATCTGTATTAAATAGTTGTAAAAAAATAGTGCGCAAATTTATTTTGAGCTAACTACCGTCGTAAAAAGGGTAAAATGAACTCTCAATCCTATTATGCGAAATATACATAATAGTAGGTGAATCATTTTGGCAAGTTCATCAGAGATACAAATATTGTTAACATCATCTGTGGGAGATGACTCAATGCAATTGGAATAACACTTAATTCGAAATAAGATGATTCGATTATGAGGGTGATCGAACGGTGATTACTTTACTTATTTTATTATTGGTGAAAAAGATTTTTTTGCATGCAAACTAATGTGAAAAATATGATATTTTAAAGAGCATATCATTAAAAGACTTAATAACTTTGTGCCTTTGTAGTGAAAAATATCGTTGAAGGAAAATAATGAGTAGTAATGTAGCTAAAAAAATTATTAATCTAATCTCATAAATTTTAATTTGAAAAAGCCTGTCAGAGTTGTTTTTAATATAGGCATTTCAAAAAGACAAACAGAATTATTTATCAATCAATTTTTATCACTGCAAAATAAACAATTATTTTTCATACATTTGTACAGAAATTAATTAAGAGAAGATTGATAAAAATAACTTTGATAGAGTTAACATGGATCCATTTTTAATAAATGGTCTTAGCGTTGAATTGAATTTTTGAAGAACCATAAAATTTTGGTTAAAACTATTAACAAAAACGCTTGATAAAATTCCAAATAAAGGAAAACTTTTTTCTTTAAACTCTAAAGCCATTTGAGAGAGGTATGATCTTAATTACAATGGCGATAAACATGCTTTTTTCAGATTCATAATTTATTCAGTGCAGAACTTTTACTGCCAATAACTTAAGAGTATTCCTCTCATTTTTCAGCGACGCAATAATTAGCAACTCCTTTCTTGAAGAAATTTATTTATATTTTTCAATAGAGAAAATAAATGTTTTAATGTAATGATCTTAATTACTGAGGGCGAAGGATTTGCTTTTGTCTTTCCTACTATATCAGAGAAATACCGGCATTATGTTACCAAGAATAGATTACAAAGAAAAAAATTTATTGGTGTAGAAAAATTCTATCCCTGATTTTGCACTCAAATATATATCTTAAGTACTTAGTATTATTTATTTAAGTGCTCACGAGTTTGTTTTATGCTTTTAAAATCTGCATTTTAAAACTTATTTTTAAGTAATACGTTCTAATTTAGTCCTAATTTAGTCGCAGTTAGAGAATTTTAGTCGAACTTCAAAGACATGCTAAACATGTTTACGCATGTATGAAAGGAAGTTTTTTTTTCTTATTATCTATTATATTCACTTAAATGAGAGCTGAGTACAAAAGCCGATTATAATTCCTTTTATGTATGACATCTATTAAAGAATTTATTTGATTAAGTTTCTATTTCCAAATAGAAAGTAATTTTAGTATCATTTTCTCCTTAAGTACAACAATACTTATTTCATTTCCCTTTATAGTTTTATCACGACATACAGAATTAATATTTAAACATAATGCATTTTTGGTATTTAAGGAAATATATTATTTTGTGTTACGTTATAGTGAAAAGAGTTTATAATTATCTTCCTTAAAAGGCGGCTTGGAAAACTGCATGTTATTACACAGAGAAAAAAAATGTGGTAAAATTTCAGTGATGTAAGATGATGATATTTCTGGTAAAAAAACAATAACGTAATTCTATTAATAGAAACCGAAATCTACTATACTTAAGTCATTCACAAGAGAACTTTTACGCTCATGCGGTAAGAGTTTACAGGTAATTCTAATTTTTAAAATTATAGTTCGTATTATCACACATTTAGTAAAAAATACATCAATAAAAAGTAAAAAATAGTTCTAGTATCATGCTTATAAGGTATGATAAAATTAACAAATTTTATCAATTTTACCAAATTTAATAACCCATTATAAAACCTTATTTCATTGCTAATTTTACTAAAATCATTACCAAATTGCTACAGTAAAAATTAAGGAGCTTTTTGGAGTCTCCATAGAACCAGAAACATGGTTAATTTTACCATATTCAGGTGGTTTTGACCAAAATTTTTTTCTCTGTGTACCTTTATTAAGAAATGAAGATTAAAAAGTTTATGTGTTTTGTTAGGTAAAAAAGTAATATTTTAGCTATCTATTAACGTATATATATATATACATTTTTAGAAGATATTACAATAGCACTTAAAATTGAATTTCAGTCTTTTTTCAATGAAAAGATTAAAATTTTTCCTAATAAGGTTTAATGGGTTTTTTAAATCAAGATTGCTGACAAGATGAATTTGATTTAGAATTTCAATTTTAAGCGTCTCTAAAAGTTCAATAACGTAGGCAATTTAGAAACTTTAAAATACCTTCGCAATGTTGAATTATTTGATAATCTGTAGAGTTTCAATAACATATACCCATTGCTTTTATGTATGTATACTGCAAAGCTCTAACAGAAATGAAAGAAAAGAAGAATATCAATCTTAATGAGCATCTTGACTTAAAAGACGAATCAACTTTCCGGTTATGAACGAGTCTGACTGCACCATGCATATGTAGATCGCTAATTGTAGTTCACTACACAAATTCAAAAACCTTGCTTAATGTAAAGGCATGTTAGCGACTTGAGAATTATGATTATCTTTAATATGTTATAGTATACAAAACTTGGCACATTTACCTTTAAATGCCAAGAAAACACTGTAAAAATTTATTCTGTGTTACGCAAAATTTCTGGCAGCAAAGTTGCCAGACATTGTTCATATGCTACGGAAGACAAAAAATATGCATTGATAGAAATTTCCTGTAAAAAAAACACTACAAAAAATATTTGTAAGCACCAAATATTTTCCGTGAATCAAGGTAAGACAGAGAAATTTCGCATGGAGCTAGTTGCACATCCTCTGGTTTGCGTAGAGAACCAAAGTTTTTAAATATTTTGAATAGTTTTTTAATTATTTCATGTTTTTCTGTGCAATTATTTCATGTTTCATGTTTTTCTGTGTCATGTTGAAAAACCATCACGTTTGTAAGAATCGACTTCAACTTTTTATTTCCTCCCTTGTTATGTTCAAATGATCCTGAGTAGGATTTGAACCTAGGACCTTCATGACATGAGGTCAACTCCTTGTCCACCGTACATCGGCATTTGTTTGAAAGTATCAAATTATTTATTGCCGCTGTGATACCAAAGTTTTTATACTCAAAACTGAAAAATTCAGTACCTATCAGATACAATCTGGATCAATAGTTACAGAGTTAATTTGCTAACAGATAAAAGTTCTCTTTTCACAAATTACGATGTAATTTAATAGTAAATTCCTTTAATTTTAGAGAAAAGGGATTTTCAGTAGGACTGTTACAGAATTATTATATTTTAACAGATTTTTTTTCTGTGAATGACACCATTGTATAAATTATGACTTTTAAAATTTAAGCATACTTCAAAACGACAAAATTTTTGAAATAAAATTTCGATTGTAGTCTGTTTGCTACACATTTATTTATTTATTAATATTTTTAATATTTGAAAATCATAATTTTGCTTTTGATGATACTGCTGGTAAATGTATCTGTTTTTCCATGTTTTTTAGGTGAATGGAATAATTACAAACACTGGGCATGGTGTTATATTTAGAACAACTGCCTCAAATCATGCAGAAATCCTTAATATTACAGGAGGGCCTCTGTCATATAAGTACCGCTTTAGTGAGATTCATATTCACTTTGCCAGATCAGATGAAAAAGGATCGGAGCATCTTATTGCTGGCCATCAATTTCCTGCCGAGGTAATGTATATACAGTTAATATCACTCATAGCCAGAAAGTCTTATAAATTGTTTGACATTGCATAAATGTTTTTGAACTTTTTTTATGTATAGGGGAGAGTGGGGTCAATTGTAACAGGGTACGATGGTAACAGAGCAAAACTTTCGAGTGTCAGGTTCTAGATTTGGTTCCTAGGTGGCGCACAAGGTGTATTTAATAAATCTACATGTACACCCCTGCTGGCAACCATTTTTATGTACTTTTGAAAGAGTTACATCACAAAAGACGTTTTTACGCTACGTAAATACTTTTTTTGGTATTAGAATATTATATTGTAACAAAGTAATTTTGCTTAAACAAATAAAAATTATTAACCGAATATGAAAGTGGACACCTTAATTAACATTTCAAAGTTTAATTAAAGCAATGTTACAATTTCAAAGTAGCATTTAGCAAAAAAAAAATATTAGTTTTGTTATTTAACTAGCATTGTTTATAGCAAATTAAGTTGAAATGGCGTCTTGGGGACGATTGTAACAATTAGTAAAGGGACGATTGTAACAGCTGAAAATACATAATCTTATGTTTACAAGCCATTACTTAACTCCTTAAGAACAACTAATAGTTTCCTATATCAATTATATATTGTTGCATGTGCATTATTTTATTTGTCACCTTTCACAGCATAAATTAAAATTTTTAACCCCTTAAAGTTAAAAGTTTAACCCTTTAGGTCTCTGCTAATTATTATTTTTACTCCTAAAATATAACTACTATTTTGATCAATAAAAAAATATATCACAACTATGATAATATGTATAATCAACTATGTTTTAGTTGAATTTATGAACTGTTACAATTGACCCCGTAAGTGGGGACAATTGTAACAAGTGCACAACTGTCAAAAATTGTTAATAACTAATATAATAACATTCAAAATTTAGGTATTTATTTTTTCCTAGGTATTTTTCAAAAAGGTATTTATTTTTTTCCTAGTAGAGGATAGTCTACTTTACTCGTCTGTCAATTAATACTAATGATATATTGAATTTTTTGTTAGTTAAAAATAGTTAAGTAAAAAATTTTACAATTGACCCCACTCTCCCATACACAACAAATCTATACAATACACACAAAAACATATATACAAAAATCATACATACGAAACATATATATACAATAAAAATAATATAATAAATTATTTATTTTTAAAAATTTAAAAATGAGAAAATTAAAAAAAATTGAGGATTCAAAATTTATAAAAATTTCGAATGGTTAAATTTTGAATGACCATATTGTAATGAATATAAATGACCATACTTTATTCTTTTAACAATTGTTGATACTCTCTCCCCCTCTGTATATATATATATAAATTANGGTCCATCCTATGATGCAAATTTTGTTTCCTGCAGGAGATGGAATTTTCCAGGATGATAACGCCCCTATTCATGCAGCCAGAGTTGTCCAATCATGGTTTGATGAACATGAGGATGAAGTGGAACATCTACCTTGGCCAGCACAGTCCCCAGACCTCAATATAATCGAACCGTTGTGGTCTATTTTAGAGCTTTCAATCCGGAATCGATATCCTCCACCGGCATCTCTCACGGAACTTTCACAATATCTCCATGAAGAATGGTACAATATTCCTCTAAACACTATTCAGAATTTGTATGATTCGATTCCTAGGCGAATCCAAGCTGTTTTGCATGCAAAAGGCGGTCCTACGCCATATTAATAAAGGATTCCTTCAAAATCTGGGGTGTTTCCATTATTTTGATAACCACCGATATATATATATATATATAATGAATTTTATATTATGTTATAATTATCTATTCAGAATATTATTTTAATCGCGATTCACATAAAGAGAAAATAATTTTTTTCCAATAAAAATTTTGATGGTTATTCGTTGTTTGAAAGTAATGCATGAAACTTTTTCTTACATAATTCTAAATTATATATTTTTAAATGACGAAATAAAATATTTAAACGAAATTGCTCGATTAGTTTCTAAAGGAATTCTCAAGATAAAATTTGCATCCCATTTCTTGTGAATTATACGCATTTAACCATCGTTAAATTGACTTGCTATTAGTTTTTATGTTTGTTTTTTTAATCAGCTTAAACAGTTTGATGACCATTTTAGTGTCATGGTCGAAAACATAAGAAATAAAATAGATGTAGCGGAGAAAAAGTTTTCTATTAATCTGATAATTTTGGGGAAAAAAAATTTATGGAGATAATCATATTTTGAAAGCAAAAATTCAAATCGGATATAAAGTAAATATTTAATCATCAGAAAATATTTATTTGTCTCTATTATCCTTACTGTCAGCGCTAAGGGAAAATGTCTCTTAGTGCGTTAAAATTCAGAAAGTAAATCAAAAGTTATTATTCAGTATATATTTTTATCTGCACTTAAAATAAGAGCTAGTTAAACGTTCAATCTCAAGAGTAACAATAATATTTCTGAAAAGTAAAAAAAGGAGAACTTTTATTTCATAAGAAAATAAACAGAAAGTGATAAAAAAGATGTTTGAAAATAACGGTTAAATAATAAAACTTTTCTTTTATATTCCATGTTTTTATAAAACAAGTAACAATACAAATATCTTTAGTGAAAGATAGCATATTTTTAATGACAAGTTTATATTTATAGAGCTTTATTATCAAGATTGCGTTGAATATGCTGAAGATGTGTCAAACTCAGAATATCGATTTTTAATGCCTATTTTTTTCTTACTTTTTTCTATATTCCGCTCGGCATTTTCTTTTATGTGGTTACCGGGAAAAATAGGTTGTCGAAGACACATACAAGCCTCATTCATCGGCCTTTTAATGATGGCTGAGAACAATGCTTTTCTTTATCACTTCCATTAGATATCAGTAGTTGTCTGGAAAAAAAATACACGTGTTACAAAAAATTTCCTGTCGTGACTATAGTAAGCAAAAATTCTAATTAAATTCATTTTTATGGAATACTTTATTCATTAATCAATTTCAAGTAACAGAATATAAAAAAAAACATTATTTTTAATTTTCTAAATAAAAATGTAATTCTTGTGTTTATTCGTGTACCTGTATTAATTTAGTACAGGGGGTTTCAAATATGATTGATGATTTGTGAAATAAATTTTGAAAAAGAAAAAAAGAAAAAAAAGCAAACGGAAAGAGATATAATTCCAAAAGCAAAGGTAGTGATATATAATTACAAGAGTTTATTTCAACCATATTTCGAAAAAAATAGTTAACATGTTTATCAACAAAGGGAGCTGTTGTCCGTAAGAAAAGTACACCCATGTTTTCAGTTGCACATCAGACTATTCCAACCGTATTATTTCCTCACGCATCTGCTAATTTTCTCCTCAGACTGTAGCACATCATTGTTGCAAATTTTGTGTTTCTTGAAAACATTATTTAATAAATTTTTTCAGTTAACATTACATACACCGCTGAAAGTAATTAATTTAGAAAAACAAACCGATTGCTCAGTAGAAAGCAGCATATCGTAGTTTGTAACTGAATTTTGAAATAGTTAACTTTTGGGACTGTCAATTAGATTAACAATTTTGCATTTAAAAAAACTGTTTTATAGTTGAAAAAAATCATATTAAAAAGAAGCTGTTAAAAAATTCAAGGTTTAAATTAGTTTGATTTTAAAAGTACTAGCTGGAATTATTTTGCGCTTTAACGTACTTAATATGCATCGCATCAAAAACTTCTATAAAATACTTGTCAGAGTTTCTTAGTGTTTAAATTTTTCTACCTTACCTGCACATAGAAATACTCCTAGTATTCAAAAGACTTTGTTTTAAATTGTGTTTTGTGGATTTTTAGAGTATAACCTTAAATATGAGTCAACCCGATTCTGTTTGAAAACCCATCAGAAAAATAAATGTTTGGTATATAATATGTACAAAATAAGTAAATAATCCAGACAAAAGTCGTTTTTTGTGCCAAAAATAGCTTTTTTTCGCCCAACTAAATCTGTTCTTGAACCCACAAATCTAGAAAATATCAGAATGGGGAAAATATTAGGAATCTCTTTTTATGCAAAAAAGGAATAAAAGCGTAAACAAAGAGCACGTATTTTTGTTTACTTAGATTCTCGCCCCTTTTAGCCCTACGCATCAGATCAAAACTGTAATATATCTCCCTGTCTCTTTTATATATGTATGTTAGATAACGAAAAATAGGAAAAGCTGTAGGTAGAATCCTCTAAGGAACATGTCGGTTGAGTCAAGGGGCAGAAGTGATCGCCAAAAATCGCCAAGTGACATCGAGCCTGAATGAAACGTGCCGAAAATGGGAAAGTAACCGAAAGAATAACGGCCTCACCGGAATCGCAAGTAAGAGCCGAAAATGGCTTAAGTAAACCTCTTAGGAAGCTGTTTTTTTTTTTCTTCAATGAATTTAAAATTATTCAACGTAGAAACACGAGAGGAATTTGCATTCAGTGTATTATTCGAAACTCAAAATTTCGTTTCTTCTTTTTCAGAGTGTTTTACTGCTATATTTCATTTCTTAAAATGATATATTTCATTTCTTCTTTCCTGTTCTAAAACTGTCTTAACTGATTCTTAAGTGCTACATACCATACAGCAAAATGTAAGATTTAGACATAACGTCTGACACGAATAAATTTTAGTTCGTAATAATGGATGATCTTACATTTTTTTCTCACTCTGAAACTCTGCTACAAATATAATTGTACTTCATTGTTAGGACATAAACATGTCAGTTACGAAAATATTAATAAAAAAATAGAATATTTAAAGAATGCTCAGATTTTATCTTTTAAATCAAACATATTATTATAAGCATATAATACTCATTGAGAAGACACATTAACATCACTTATTTATTACTTTGTGATCTAACTTTTTTTTTCTCCATTAAAAAGGAAGAAAATAGTCTATAAGTATGTATTAAAGGCGGTGACTACAGAACACCTTTTAAAAAGCTTTAACGACAAAAAATAGCTATAGAAAAGCGTGCAACATAATGCAAA